CCTTGTTCACCACAAATAGATATTGATGGATCTGTTAAGATACATAGGCAATTTCTATCTAATCACAAAAACCCGAACCAAACTTACGAACGAACAAATAAATACATAGGCAAATCTGGCAAATAGACAGGTGAAATATACTGATTATTGACTATTGTTGATAGTACGTTGACTATTTGAAGCTATAGCATATATTTAACAGATCAGTACATTAGAAGTATGTGTTAAAAACAGTATTTCAATTGCATAAGAAAAAAAAAAACAGTGTATTGACAACAATAAGTATTTTTACTTCAACGGATATAAAATGAAATAAGAAAGTTTAAATTTTAGTTGCAATCATAAAGAATTGTGATAATTGGTATCAATGATTGTAAAAACGATATTCAGATACGGAGAAGCTTTGTTATATAGCGTTGTTTGGGTAAAATATCTGGCAGTAAGTCTTCTGCAAGGATAAGTAGGAACAAAAAAAAAAAAAGAGTAAAACTGATGACAAACATCTGTTTGCTGTTACGTTGATACCGATAAGAATCTGATTATTCTGCTACATCTTCATCTGTTTATCCATCTACGCTGAAATAACTCAGATATTTGCTCTACCAATGTACACTGAAGCTGCAAATGTTTATTAGTTTTTCATTAAAAAAAAAAAAATTTTTTTTCTTGATCAAACTGTCATCATAATTTTTGTAAAAATTTTTGCATACAGAACAGACAAAAGAAAAATTTTTAAAAATTTAATTTATTTATAAATTTTTTTAGTGACTTAAAAAGCTAAATTTAAATAGCTTACACAAATAGCTAAGTTAGCTAAATGTTTGCTTAGGAAAACAGGTGCTTAGTTTGAAAAAAAGAAGAAAAAGCATTAAAGAAACAATACTTTTTTTTGTATTGAATAATAATGACAATGATAAATGAAGATTATTAAGCAAACAGAAAATTTCTCAAGTGCAATTTTATAAAACACATCAAATATATTTATAATTTTTAAGAAGAACTGAAGAGCTCAATAAAGTTAAAAAAAGAAATTTTTGTTCTAAAAAATATTCTCCTCTTTTTTTTTGTCTATTTTTTATTTTGTACACTGTTTTCTCTAAATTTTGAAGCTTTTATTTCAAACTAAGAAAAAGTTAACTCTAAATATAATTATTAAAACAATTAAAAGCTTTGTCTAACAACCTTTACTTAGGGTACAGTTATGAATAGGATTCGGTAATGCTTTGCTGAGCAACAGTAAGAATTTACAAATTCTTCAGTGATCAACAAATTCACCATTTTTTTTTTTTTTTTGCTTTTTTTGAATGTCAAATTTAACAAAATAAGAGGTAAAAAATTTATAAAATTTAACAAAATGTTTTGGCTTTTTTAGTCACTAAAAAATATTGGCATTACATCGGATTGATGACAGCGCTTGAAAAGATTTAAAAGTCATTTTTAATTCAGTTAAATTATAACTATCAGTCATATGTCATATGAAATAATAGCAAATTTTTTTTTTTCCTTCTCTTAAAGTAACTTAAAAATAAAATTTATTTTAAAAAAAAAAATATATATATATATATATAAAACCAATTTTAATTTACCTCTTTTTTTTTTCTCGCTTTTTTTTTTTTTTCTGGCTGCTTATTGTTTTGAAGCAACAAAATTTCGTTCTTCACCACAATGAGTTTTAAAACAGATGACATATATCAACAGTGTTATTAGGACAAAGATTGATGCAGTTACCAGCACCAGAAGAACCGGAGCAAAATAGTCCAAAGAATCAAATTCCATCTCTGATGATCCCATTTTCTGCAAAAATTTAACAACATTTATTTGTCAAAATTATAGTTTACAATAAATTTAGCAAAGACAAAAACAACAAAGATTGCAATAATCATTTAAAAAATACACCCACTTAACAATGCTGTAAAATTAATAAGGAATTGCTGCTGATCTGTCTTTCAACTACTGATTATTTCAACTAAGGCAAATACAAAAAAAAATTGAAATTATTTAAACTTGACATTGATCTTTGGTAAAAGAACAAAAAAAACTTTAAACATTGTAGTTTTCCGTTTCCTATCGGCAGACAAATTTATAGTATAATAAACTGAGGTAAAAGAAAAAAAAAAAAAAAAAAAAAA